ATTTTATTTATTTGAGAGAGAGAGAGGGAGAAGCAGGCTCCCTGCCGAGCAAGGAGCCTGATGCGGGACTCGATCCCAGGACCCCGGGATCATGACCGAGGCCGAGGGCAGCCACTTAACCGACTGAGCCACCCAGGCGTCCCAATATGAGGCATTCTTAATCTCAGGAAACAAAGTGAGGGTTGCTGGAGTGGTGGGGGGTGGGAGGGATGGGTTGGCTAGGTGATGGACATTGGGGAGGGTGTGTGCTGTGGTGAGCACTGTGAATTGTGTAGGACTGATGAATCACGGAGCTGTACCTCTGAAACAAATAATACATTATATGTTAAAAAAAAAAAAAGAAGAAGAAGATAGCAGGAGGGGAAGAATGAAGGGGAGGAAATCGGAGGGGGAGACGAACCATGAGAGACGATGGACTCTGAAAAACAAACTGAGGGTTCTAGAGGGGAGGGGGTGGGGGGATGGGTTAGCCTGGTGATGGGTATTAAGGAGGGCACGTTCTGCGTGGAGCACTGGGTGTTATACGCAAACAATGAATCATGGAACACTACATCAAAAAAAATTTAAAAAACAAAAGCAAAATACATCAACCAAATGATACCAAAATTGGGGGAGAAGTATACAATACAGATGACAAATACCAAAGAGCTCTTAGAAGCAACATGAAAAAATTAGTTTCTCCGGGCAAAACAAGGTACGCACGAAACGGGCAACTCATAAGAGAATAAAAACGACCACAAATATGAAAAGGTAATCTCATCGGTAATAAAAAAAAAATGCAATTCACTCTATTTCATCCCTCCGAATGACAAGAAGCAATCAGACAAGTGGTGAAGGTATACACATAATGATTTCAAAGTGTTAAAGTCCACCAAAAGGGTGCAGTTTAAAAAAATTCCAGTAAACTGGAGTTGTAACACTATGTGCCACACAGAATCACACACCACACAGAGAGAGCTTCACACATTAACAGAAAAAACAGGTTACCTAACAGCACATAAATGATATTGTCCCCATCCTTAAACACTGAAAAACATCTGAAAAGGGATTTATCAAAATGTTGAAAATGGTATTTGCAGGTGTGGGATTATGGTTTTCATTTTTCTTTATGCTTTTCTGCATTTTTTTCCCCAACTGCTAACATCATTTTGTTTTATGACTTGCAAGGCACTTACCTAGTAAGGCTGTGTTTTCACCTGCATCTTCTTTGAAACTGGCATCACACTGTGGTGCAGAATCACTAGTGGAAGCCGATGGCAAATTGCTCCCCTCACTTCTGTCATCTTGTAAAGTAATACTCAAATTTGCAGCCAAAACACTCCCAAGGGGAGGTTCTGGAGCAGGCATCTCCTGCACATCCTCAAGTTCTCCCTTGAGAGAATAAAAGAAAATACCTTGTCTGAGTAACATAATCAAAGCCTATCTATCATTTCATGATCATTACTCACAATTCCTACAAAGTATTTACTTTTATACACAGAATATGGCAAGAACACTAATGTCTTCTTTATTTAGCAACATCAGAAAATGAATTACTTCTCAGTAAGCTGCTTTCCAAGAGCTAAACACTGTGCATTTGAAAAACCACTTTTCCCCTTGATGCAAGCAATGCCACCTTTTAAGCTCTTTACTGACAGTAAGTGAAGTTTTGTCAGAGACACACTTTCCTCGCTTCCTGGACAGAGGGTGCGAATCAGCCTGGCTGTGGCCATGAGCTTGAATTAATGCCTAGAACTGCCCTACTGTCTTACTGCGGGTACCAGGGTTTTGGAAGAACACAGTGTCTGACAACAGAGGGCTTCAGATTGCATTTGATTCACTTAGAATCAGTTGTGGCTCCCTAAAGACAGTCTGTCGGCTGTCAGTGTACCTCCAGCTCCCCCATTTGCTTCATTAAAGAAAAAAACAGGATAAGGAAAGTGACAGCCCAGTCTCAAACAGAGGTTTATCCAGATACCTTTCTGATTAATGCCAGAGTCAGAGCCATGCTGTGAGAGAGGAAAGCACTGGCGAGGTCACCTAGTAAAGGAGGGGGGCTGTGGGTTTACAGTGAGCCTGAGCTTCACATAAGAACACGGTGCTGGCTCCACCTCCCTCCGCGGGCTCTCGGGGCAAGGGCACAGCGGGCCTGCTCCTCCCACTGCCGCTCCACCCAGTTCTAGAACCGCCCTCTTCCTGAACCACATGCTACACTGCTTCCTTCTCATTGCTAAGTAACTGAACACCCTCAGAACAGACTCTGGACACACCAAACCACAAATCCTATGGAGTTGCCATACTGTCCAAACTCCCACCCAGTCCACCCTCATCTGTTTTCCCAGATAGTTACCAAAATACCCACCAAACTTAACTACCTGCCAGTCTCAAAGCCCCCATGGTCACACCCTCATCTGCAATATACTGATCTGTCAGGCAAATCCTTTAACACCCAGCTCAGGCTCCGCTCTTAAAAAAACCACCCTCTTATCTTCCCACTCCACCTGGCGGAGTAAATTCCTCCTTTCTCTGTGCTCCTCGGCACTTCAAACATACCTCCTTTGCAGCGTTGTGTGTGGGTGTATGCCCTGGCCCCCACAGTCCAGAAAGTTAAAGTCCACAACCAGAAGGGCTGCGTCTTACTCATCTTTGTCTCCCCAAGTCAAGGTCCAATCTAGCACCTGAGAGAGCACTCCTTTGATACATGCTTGCTGAATGAATGAAAACAACAGTGACAAATGGCACATCGAGAAGGTTGTAGCTGCCAACGCAAGGACCACCTCTCAAGTCCACAGCAAGGACTGATGGCAGCCCTCTGACCACAGCTGTTTCCTTGGGAGCGAGAACTAGCTGCCACACGACAGTGTATCATCACTGTCTACAAAACCCAATGCAGGAGGGACAAAGGGACTAAAGAAAATGGCACACTCGTCAAAAATTGTAAAACAACTAAGGGAAGACCAGTTAATTTCTTAGAGTTTGATTTAAAGTTACTGCAGGTTTCTGTTCTTCAAAAAAGAAATCACGGGGCGCCTGGGTGGCTCAGTTGGTTAGGTGACTGCCTTTGGCTCAGGTCATGATCCTGGAATCCCGGGATCGAGTCCTGCATCAGGCTCCCTGCTCAGCGGGGAGTCTGCTTCTCCCTCTGACCCCCCCCCATGCTCTCTCTCTCATTCTCTCTCTCAAATAAATAAAATCTTTAAAACTAAATAAATAAAAAAGAAACCACACTTCCTGGGGTCCTAGTCAAGCTTTCTGAAATTAACATTCTAACAAAGTAATCCAACCTGATGCAAAAAGAATAATCTTCATTTTTAATGTATGAAATATATATATGTAGATGTAGTTCCAAAAACAAAACTCATGAGGATTAATCTCAGTGCTAATGTTAGTGAAATACCCTTTCAAAAATTTCTAGAAATGAAAAGCAGGTTTAAAACTACTGACTATAAAGAAAGTAACTTAAAATGAGCTTCAGTGTGCACCTAATGAAGGAAAAGAGGAAGGAGAAGAGGAAAAAGGAAAACTTTGCCAAGAAAAACATCTGTTGAGCTCCCTGTATTGTACTGTTTAAAATGCTTAAAATCCCAGGAAGGGTGTCTACGACACAGGCTCAGTTCACTAAGTCTCAAATTCACTGTTATGCCCTGCTAAACAGAGCCATCATTATTAAAAACTATAAATAAATGTTAGAAATTGTAGAGGAAAGACAAATTTTCTAGACATCAAAGCAGGTAAGTTTTCTTTCAGTAAGAGGTCTTGAATGCTGACCTTCCTCCTTTCCTGTACCTGTGACGGGGGCATTCTGAAACTCACACTTGAAAAATATAATTCTTAGGCGTGCCTGGGTGGCTCAGTCAGTTGAGCATCCTTTAGACTCTTGGATTTCGGCTCAGGTCATGTCTCATGGGTTGTGAGATGGAGCCCTGTGTCGGGCTCTGCGCTCAGTGGGGAGTCTACTTGAAGGTTCTCTCCTTCTGTCCCTACCCCCCAACTCGTGCATGCATGCGCACACTCTCTAAAATAAATAAATAAATCTTAAAAAAAATAGAAAAATCCAATTCATAGATAATTACAGTGGTAATCAAGGCAGCAATCTCTCAACTATCTTTCCAAGACCCACCAAGCTAGAAGATGAGAGGACTCTTTGAGGGCTATTGGGGCTGTAAGGTGTGTGAAATGCTTATCACAGAAAAAACTCCTCGTGGTTTCTAACTCTACCATAAACACTATAAAAAAAACCCTAAAAAATTAGGTTTAGCAATAAGAGAAGTATGTGATATTTAAATTACTTCTTCTAAAGTAATAAGATCATTATTTCAAAACTATTTGGTATTTAATCAAGAATATTTTAAGACATTAATAGATTATATGAAAACTCTAAAAACAATTAAAAAGATAATGATCTAGAAAAATCTGTTTTTTTCCTCCGTCTTCCCCTTTTGGGTGGGACTACTGGTTAAAAGCTTGTATCCGGGAATTAAGCAAACCTGTATCTGAAAGCAGATTCCCAAATAACTAGCTGTGTGATCTTTGGTGAGTTCCTCGGCTTTTCTAAGTTCAAGTTCCTCATTAGTAAAATAGGGAGAGAAACAGTACTTACCTCCCAGAGTGGCTATGAGGATATGACGTAATAATGTACTTAAGGCCCTCAGCACCTGGCTGGCTACTATGAAGCACCCTCTTTCACTCTGCCCTCATGTCTTTGTTTTCGGAGGAAGGTCTTACGACCACCTAAGTACCACAAACCGATGGAGCAAATACCACACAGAACCAATTTCCCTAGCAGGATTTGATTTCCAAACCCAGAAATTTGAGACCTGGTGTCAAGAAGTGTTGGCTTCAGTTTCCTCATATGTAAAATATGCATCTTGAACCAGAAAATGTATGAGGCTCCTTCCATTTCAAAGATTTGATAATTCTTGTTCATACGAAACTGACGAGTATGTATACATTCTACAGGGCAGCATACCAATATATCGCTCTAAGCAATTACAAACTCTCTGGGGGAAACATATAGCATATCAGTCTATAATCACAAAGGCAGTAGCCCGTTAACTTTATGGAATGTCTTAAACATTCATTTTTAATCAAGAGGAAAATTTCTTCAGGGAACCACAAAGATGTTAGAAGGAGCACTTAGTCCATTCCTCTTGGCTCTGGTCAGTAATGAAATTGAATCACTCAGGAAGAACTGGGGCAGAGATTGAATATAAACAAAAATGTAACAAACCCAATATCCCAGGGCTTTGATGACATCAAGTTTACACATTGGACACGTGCGGTGATCCAAAAGCCATGGGTCAATGCATATTCTATGAAAAATATGCCTAAAAAAATTAAGTATGTGTTAATTTTTTAAAATAAATGTTTATATCTTATAAAGGAAACAACACATTCTACTAACTCATCTCCTCAGTACAAGTTGAACAACTTCAAATCAACATTCTAGTCTATTCACTTACTCTATGTAATTATCTATTCTACTTTCCACATTAAACAGAATCTGGAACTTAGAGGGAAATTTTCCCTTCACTCCACAAAAATAGCATGGTTTATTTTCGCTTCATGCTACGTTGTATTTTTCTGTGCCTTTGTAACTTACTTTAAAGCCGTTTGGGAATAAATGTGGCATAAGTAAATCATCAGTCAACTAATAATAATAAGCTGAAAGTATCTTACATAAGTTCAGGAAACGAATCAAATGGGAATACAACAAAATATAAACAGATCATCTCTGGGTTTTAGGCTTAAAAAAAAAAGCACTTATTTTCTGTCTTAACATATTTTTGTATATTCTACATTCTTCTATAATAATAACTTTCAGAATTGAAGAAAGAAGAAATAAAAATTGCCTATGTATTTTCTTTTTACTGACTTGTCTTAAGTCGGCTAGCTTTGCCTCCTATGTGGTGAATCTGTTTTCCACACAGGATAGAGATGAGGAGTCAGGCAGAGGGGGTACAGGACCCATGGCTCCCATACCAGCTGTGTGATGCGATGCTGGGACTCTGATCTAGTTGCTTAACCTCTGCACCTCCATTGCAGGGTTGTTCTCAGCAGCAAATACGTAACGTGCTCACAGCAGTGCTGGGCACAGTAAATATCGAGTAACTGTTCATTATTCATGCTGTTGTGTGAAGACCTCTTCTTCATACTGAAGTCTGCTAGTGCAGTTAAAAATAACATACTTAATTTCGTAACATAGTCTAGCCTAGCTAGTCTTCTGACCTTTCCATCCTCAAACTGAAACTGAAACTGACTGACCCAAAGAAATAATTTTTACAAAAACAGGAAACGACAGATGTTGGCGGGGATGCGGAGAAAGGGGAACCCTCCTACACTGTTGGTGGGAATGCAAGCTGGTGCAACCACTCTGGAAAACAGTATGGAGGTGCCTCAAACAGTTGAAAATAGAGCTACCATACGATCCAGCAATTGCACTACTGGGTATTTACCCCAAAGATACAAATGTAGGGATCCGAAGGGGTACGTGCACCCCAATGTTTATAGCAGCAATGTCCACAATAGCCAAACTGTGGAAAGAGCCAAGATGTCCATCGACAGATGAATGGATAAAGAAGATGTGGTATATATACACAATGGAATATTATGCAGCCATCAAAAGGAATGAGATTTTGCCATTTGCAACGACGTGGATGAACTGGAGGGGGTTATGCTGAGTGAAATAAGTCAGTCAGAGAAAGACATGTATCATATGACCTCACTGATATGAGGAATTCTTAATCTCAGGAAACAAACTGAGGGTTGCTGGAGTGGTGGGGGGTGGGAGGGATTGGGTGGTTGGGTGATAGACATCGGGCAGGGTATGTGCTATGGTGAGCACTGTGAATTGTACAAGACTGAGGAATCACGGATCTGTACTTCTGAAACAAATAATGCAATATATGTTAAGAAAAAAAAAAAAAAGAAGAAGAAGAAGATAGCAGGAGGGGAAGAATGAAGGGGAGTAAGTCGGAGGGGGAGACGAACCATTAGAGACGATGGACTCTGAAAAACAAACTGAGGGTTCTAGAGGGGAGGGGGGTCGGGGGATGGGTTAGCCTGGTGATGGGTATTAAAGAGGGCACATTCTGTGTGGAGCACTGGGTGTTATGCACAAACAATGAATCATGGAACACTGCATCAAAAACTAATGATGTAATGTATGGTGGTTAACAATAAAAAAATTATTAAAAAAAAAAAAAACAAAAACACAAAGGAAACATGTTGGCTTTAATGGGAAATCTGTCAAATAAAGCATGGGAGAAAATGAGGGGAAATTAAGTAAAGCACCAAACCCAGCTCAGCCATCAGGACAGATCTGGTGTTACAAAGGAAGTGAGCCTCAGGCCGTTCATCTGTGCTGCATCCCAAGCATCATTTTTAGTCACAAAGACTTGCCCTAAACCATCCTAGATAAAAATTCTTTTCTATTTTAATAATTTTCCACAAGACATACTGACTCCAATTCATTAAGTACCCACCCACCAACCTCAAATAAAAGCCTGTAGACCAAAGTTAGCTATCTTTATTCTGGACACTTTTGTTATTCTGATATTCATTTGTTTTCTCTATAGAATTACTGAGAACTTAACCTACTATAGAGGACTTATATATATACTACTTTGTAAACATAAAGCAAACCGTAATTACACATTAATTTCTGACCTGCTTCTAATAGGTGGGAAGCACAATTAAAATTGATCAGACTGAAAGCATAGTATAATTTTTATACACCCTTCTGATAACAGCCATTCTTCTAAACAGTTATCAGTTAATTAAAGTATCCATTAAAAAAAAAAAAAAGGAAATCGCAACTTCCCATTGCTAAAGCAAAGCCCCTAGTGTACCTAAAGGAAAAATATTTTTTTGCAGAACCCCCAAAAGAACTAATATCCAGGGTGCAAATAATAGCAAACCACTACCCTCCTTGACTTTCTGCTAGCCATTTCTGGCCCTCCCCCTGGGGACCTTCACCGGTCATGCTTCAGTTTCCTTGCTCCCACACAATGTACGTTTTGAATGGCTAAATGTATGATGGAATTCTCAGGATTCTAATAAAGCCTTGCTTAAGACTAAACGCCAATCCATGGCAAAGATTTATAACGGGTCTGTCTTAGGGCCTGAGGTCTCCTAAGCAATTTTAAAGTAATATAATCCTGGAACGTAGAAGGCTTGAAGCTTCCTTCCTAAAGGATGAGATGATGACATCATCACATGATAGCAAGATCCTCACATCATAAAAGACACATTAACACTCTTGTCAGAAACCTGAAACTTATCCAGTAATTTGTAGCATCTTAGGAAGGAAAAAAAACATACTTGCATGGCAGAATTCTGATAATGTCCTTTACTTTAAAATTTTCAATACACACAGCACAGTTTTCAGCATCAACATCAATTCCCTGTAAAAAGGAAAAAAAAGAATTCACTATATCCTTTGCTACATGGTCTATCTTGATAAAACTCACAACGTCCTGGGTAAAACAATGACAAATTTTGTACTACCAGGGTACAACCAGAAGCTAAACACAATCTCTACCAGTATTTACTTCTTACCACTGTCCAGAGATTATATTTAAAGAATCTGGCTGAAAAGGAAAAAATGTCATTGTTACCTATTCAGGCACGAACAGTTTTGATACTAAGGTAGTGTTCATGTTTTAAGGGTTGTAGAAATGCAAAGGCCTATTTTACTATAATAAAAATTATTTTTCAAATATAAAATTGTAAAGAGAATATCCAATAAACTACTTGTTTCTAGAATCAGTAAAAACAAAAACAAGAGCACTTTCACTAGAATTTGATAAAGAACATAGTTACAACTTGCAAATGAGAAAACACAAATGGCTAAATATCTGAAAATATTCCCCTCACTAGTGATAAAAGAATTACGGATTAAAATAAATTACCATTTTTGATCTATCAAATTAACAAAGGTAAAAAGAAATAAAACTTGCCAGGGAGGAAGCAGTCCCTGGCAAAATTTGTGACAAAATTTCCACGGCTGCTAAGAATCTATGGGTCATCGACCTTTTTGGTGGTGTCAGCCTTTCCCCCATTCCCCTGGGTACCCCCATCAAATCACCTGGCCTCACCCCATCAAAGCAGGCACAGCCAGAGTGGTCATCTGACCCAAGACAGGTCAGTGAGACTCTCTTTGATTCTAGGATGAATTCAAGAACTACCAGTCAGTGTCTGCATGCAGCTCCAACATTAGCAAGTGTATTTTATAGGAACACAGCGAACCTGTCCTTATGTAATTATTTTAAAAATACACTGAGCCATGTATATCACTTGTTAGCAAGCAAGCAGTAAAAACTGATTATTATTATCAAAGACTATTAAAATTCTATAACACTGAAAATTGTATGTTGCTAAAGTAAATATTATCATCTATCATCGTATGCCATACAAAACTGATGAAACAATTTTTAAAGTCTCTAATGGTCTGTAAGCTTATACATTACTGTGAATGAGTCCAGGGCTCGAGCCCTGGGTCCTGGGATCAAGCCCCATGTCAGGCTCCTTGCTCAGCGCGGAGTCTGCTTCTCCCTCTCCCTCTCCCTCTAACCCTCTCCCTCTCCGCTTATGCTCTTGCTCTCTCTCAAATGAAGAAATTTTTAAAAAATCCCCAAAAACCCAAATGCTCTGTACAGGAAGAGGATACTATCAATTTACCTATGTTCTCAAAGACTCAATTCAGTATATTATACATATAAATCTCTGCTCCTATTTATAGACCAAGATTTCCTGCTATGGAGAAGACATATTCTAAGGGGAACATAAAACTACATGCTTATCAAGTGACTGGCCATGTGCAATGCATGTAGAGTTTATCACAGGCATTCACTAGAGACTTTCCCCAAGGACCCTCCGTGATCTGTACATCAAGTGCTAATCACAAGCCAGGACAGGAGAAACTTTTTTTTGTTTGCTTGTTTTCTTTTACTTTTTCTGTTCAGTATATTTGCATGGAAAGAAACCAGTACCCTGCACAAACTATTAAAATTCAGCTGTTACTTCTGTATAAGGCATTAGGGAAAGAATGGAAGCCAGCAATATAATTCCAAGAGTATCTTCATATTAAATATACTAAAATAAACCATTAATATCAGAATCCATAGTTTAAAAAAAACTCAAAGGTCTATAATTTGAGTATTATTTCTGCTTTAAAGTTGGTCAAAAGAAGGGATACATAAAATAAGTGCAGTTATTCTTTCTCTTTTTTAAAGGAGGAGTGGAGGGTAGAATAGATGAAGTCTCAACAATTTGGTGAGATGAAATGAAAATCAAAACAACAGAACCAACCTATACCTACAAGTCAACACACTTATCAGCATCTAAAGACACAGAAGACCATTAAAAAAAAGTACTACTACTGCATTGGCAACTGTTTTCCTCTTAAAGAATCGGTCCTCCAAGAATATGAGGTTCTGGATTTAGGATCTGTCCCATTCCCAAAATGCTTTAAAACTCTGGTATGATTTTGACCTTTTATGTCCCAGGTTGGCCATGTCAAAATGTTTCTTTTTTTAAAAAAGTAGTTTAAGTACATCTTTTCTCCCTTTCTCTACAAATCCAAGTTTTTTTCTCCCTGTATTTAAGGGAATCAGAGTGAATGAACACATAGCCTATAGACTCAGATTTAACAGAAATGAGTTTAAAGTATCAAAGGTCTATGGTCTAAGAGAACTTGGAAGTTCTTTACCTTCCTTAGAGTCATCTGGGTCTGACCAACAGGTAGAACTTTCTTACGTGATAGATATGTCAGTCCCGTCCAGTATAGTAGCAACCAGGCCATTTGAGTATTTGGAATGTAGCTAGTGTGACTCAGGAACTGAACTTTGAAGTTCAATTTCATCCATTTAAAGTAAAATAACTAGGGGCGCCTGGGTGGCTCAGTCGTTAAGCATCTGCCTTCAGCTCAGGTCATGATCCTGTGGTCCTGGGATCGAGCTCCGCATCGGGCTCCCTGCTTGTCAGGAAGCCTGCTTCTCCCTCTCCCTCTCCCCCTGCTTGTGTTCCTTCTCTCGCTATCTCTCTCTGTCAAATAAATAAATAAAATCTTAAAAAAAATAAATAAAGTAAAATAACTATATATGACCAATGGCTACCTTGTCTGGTGGCACAGGTTTTAGAGGCTCTTCACATGTACAACTGAATATTTCTGCCAACCCTTCTCTAAAATGAACACACGTATACAAGTTAGTACTAACTCAAACTAGTCAAAACTCCACATGTTCAATGTGAGTTTAACAGACCGGAAGGTTTTAGTTAGACATATAAACAGATACGTACTTTAGTCTAAAAGAAACAAAAACCCATGAAAATGTTACCTTTTCTCCATGCTTTACAGTATGAAGTGGAAGCTGGCCAATGATTTTCTTAGCTTCTTTCCTATGGCTCTTAGGTAGGAAAAATATTATCACCAAAAATTTTAAGTCACTATTTTAAAAAATTCACATAAGCTTACAGAAAAAAATTTCATTTAAAAAACAAAGTTCAATGACTACAATGAAAATAACAACAAAAATTACCATTTACATCTTAATGTACAAAATAGCCACATATAACTTAAGGGCTGTTTGATCAAGAATATTTTCAATTTCATGCCTAAAGAAGAAACCAATTCTTATGTTTAAATATTGGCAAGAGAGCAGGAAGCTGAGAATGGGGAAGGAGGGGTCCCACTGATTCATGTACTAATGCCCGTCCCTAAAATGAAAGAGGTTTCCGTCTAGTCAGCAGGTGAAGGATGACCAGAAATGACTACCACCTACAAAGCCAGAAAGAGCGGCTTTTCAAGACAACAGGTAAGTGTGAAATTCAAAGGCCTGTCTGTGGAAGTCTCTGGCTCTGAGTGCCCTCCTCTTTGCTGTGACAGAGACACTACCTCTCTGCAGATAAATGGCTTTGAAAGTTGCCCCACAACAGAAGCCAGGAAGCCCCTCCCACTCTGCTCCTCGCCTTTAGGCCCAGGGTTCTCTTCTCCTTGTTTTAAACACAGAACCAGGTCCACTCTACCTCAGGCCTATTTATCATTCCTTTATGTCTGAAAAAGGGAAAGAGGGTATTCACAGGAGCAAAACATGCAAAAAGTGACATCATTTAAAGGTATTTAATTTCCCACAGAACAGAAAATTTAATATATTCTAATTAAATTATTTAAAAAAAAGTTATATTAATTAAATAGTATGAATGAAAATGAAATTAAGAATATGGTCCAAAAAAACCCCACAAAACTCTAATACAACTTCAGGGAATATATATGGGAAATATTTATGAACTACCTTTTAAAAAGCAAAGTTAAAAAGAATTACCCATAATTACCTGACTTCCAAACTGTGAGCCAGTATATAGGAAACGCTGTATATAGTAAAATATCAGCCAGGCTAATGAGATAATCATCATGGTGATGAAGGCGATGGCCACAAATACCACAGACTGACCACTGATAAACTCCTGTACATGGCGGGTGCCAACCCCTATGGTCATTTTGACTGCAATGCCTTTCTGCACCAGATCCAAAATTTCTCTTCCTTTTGGGTAGCTAACCATAATGACCACTATATTTCCTGTTCCTGTAGGGAAGAACAAAAAAAGTCAATATGAAGAACACAAAATGAGATACACAGAAAGATAAGAGAAAAATGTAAGAGTACTACAGCTTGTCCATATGTAACATCCAAAAACTTACCAAAAAATGTTTAATTTTCAAGGAAAACTTAAGTTACCAAAATTAGTCCCAAAAGAGAAAAGAGACTGACTATATCAGAAGTAGAACAAGTCTCTAATAACTACCCCCGCCAAAGGTTAGAGCCCCATTCAATTCCACGGGTGAAATCTACCACCAAAACTTGAAATAACACTGATGGTATTGAAATTGTTCCACAGCAGATTTAAAAAGTTAAAAAAGAAGTTTAAAAAATTATTTCTAGATAATAAAGCCAAACATGGGAATAAACCAAAAGAACCATACAAATTTCACTTATGAATATTAATACATAATGCCTAGTGGCGCCTGGGTGCCTCAGTTGGTTAAGCATCTGCCTTCAGCTCAGGTCATGATCCTGGGGTCCCGGGATCGAGCCCTGCATTGGGCTCCCTGCTCAGCGCAGAGCCTGCTTCTCCCTCTGGCCCTCCTCCCTCCCACGCTCTCTCTCTCTCTCAAATAAATAAAATCTTAAAAAAAAATACATAATGCCTAAAGCATGCCTATTAATCATAGGGAGGCAATCTGAGAATTTCTACTATGATCACTATTATTTAACATTGGTCCAAAGGCATGAACAGACATAATACAAAAAAAAAAAAAAAAGAGAAGGCGTAAAATAATCAGTTTATATAAATCTATCCATAAATTAATGTAATAACAATAAAATATCAATAGGATTCTTAAAACCTTAAAAATGCTGTTTCTGAAGTTCATTAGGGTAAAAATAATCACGAACGATCAGGAAAACTTTTTAAAAGTAAAACCTGAACCCTTACAAATACAGTAATTACAACAGTGTGGTAGTAGCAAATGAAGACAACCAGAATAAAGGGGTAGAATCAAAAGTCCAGAAATTAGACCCAAATACAAAACAGAACTTAGTATATGATAAAACTGTAATCTTAAATCACTGGGGTAAGATAGATTATTTTTAAAAAATAGTATGGGAATAATTGGGTATTACCTGAGGGAAAATAAAAAAGCTGTATCCCTTTCTCACAATTTATGGCAAAATAAGTTCCAAGTAATGAATACCCAACTTTTACATCAACATGGATGGGACTGGAGAAGATTACGCTAAGTGCAATAAGTCAAGCAGAGAAAGTCAGTTATCATATGGTTTCACTTATGTGTGGAACATAAGGAATAGCATGGAGGATGTTAGGAGAAGGAAGGGAAAAATGAAGGGGGGGAAATCGGAGAGGGAGATGAACCATGAGAGACTATGGACTCTGAGAAACAAACTGAGGGTTCTAGAGGGGAGGGGGGGGGGGGTGGGTTAGCCTGGTGATGGGTATTAAGGAGGGCACGTACTGCATGGAGCACTGGGTGTTACATGAAAACAATGAATCATGGAACACTACATCAAAAACTAATGATGTACTGTATGATGACTAACATAACATTATAAAATTAAATTAAAAAAAATAAGTTCCAAGTAAATCAAAGATTTAAATATATAAAAGAGAGGAAATATAAAAATGAAAATTTTCCAGAGAGCTAAAAAAGAGCAAAATCAAGGAATCAAGATCAAAAGAGCAAACAGGCAATGGGGGAAAATACATGTAACATAACAAAGACAGAAAACAATTTCCTGTAAGAGAAAGAGCAACAGAAAAACAAAGGAAATGAAGTCAGTTTGCAGAAAAGACAAAAAATTTTTTTACCTATCAGCTTTAGTGAGATAAGAATTCACATGCCATAAAATTCACCCTTTTAAAGTATAGAATTCACTGGTTTTTAGTATATTCACAAAGGCTGTGCGACCATCATCACAATCTAATTCAATTAACATTTTCATTGCCCCAAAAAGAAAACCTGTACGCCTCTGCGGTCACTCCCCAACAAATAGATTTTAAACACATGAAAGGTCATGGTACAAATGAAAACATTAAAAAGATCTTCGACCTAGGATGCACCGCATCCTGAAAACCTATCCTAGGTTGAAAATATCCTGAGTAGAAAATGCATTTAATACTGAACATCATCACAGCTTAACCTAGCCTACCTTAAATGTGCTCTGAACAATTATAATAGCCTACAGTCGGGCAAAATCCTCTAACACTGTGCCTATAGGAAGTGCTGACCATCTCATGTAATTTGCTGAACACAGTACTGAAAGTAAAAAATGAAATGGTGGTCTGGGTACAGAATGGTTGTTGACCTTCGTGATCATGTGGCGGATTGGGAGCTGGGGCTGCAGCATCATGAGAGAATATTGTAGGGCATTATCGCTAGCCCTGGAAAAGATCCAAATTCAAAATTTGATGTATGGCTTCCACTGAATGCATACTGCTTTTGTGCCATCATAAAGTCAAAAAATTGCAAGTCAAACCAGAGTAAGTTGGGGATCATCTATACCTATATGATTGGCAAAGATCAAATAGTTTTGATCCTCCATAATGGCAAGAGTCAGCACAAATCTGCAGGGGGAGTTTATTATTACAATCTTGTGTGGAGGGCAATGACTATAAAAAAATCTCATTTATTTATTTTCCCAAGACTTTAATACACAGCTCTTTGATTCAGCAATTCCATGTCCAAGAATTACAGATACACTTGCATACGTATACAGGAGCTATTTGTAAAGATATTTGTTGTCAAATTTTCTCTAAATTGTTGCTATCACAGGGCGCCTGGGTGGCTTGGTTGGTTGGGCGACTGCCTTCAGCTAGGGTCATGATCCTGGAGTCCTGGGATCGAGTCCCACATCGGGCTCCCTGCTCTGCGGGGAGTCTGCTTCTCCCTTTGACCCTCCCCCCTCTCATGCTCTCTCTCAAATAAATAAAATCTTTAAATTGTTGCTATTACGATCTAAACGTCCATCAATAGGACTACAGTACGTGTACACAGAATGAGGTGGCGACTCCATTTGTATGAATAGTACTCAAGATGACAGGAGGGGAAAAAAGCAACATGTCAAACTATGTGGATGCAAGATCTGTAGGTCACATTAATTTGGACTGCCTCTGGAAGGAGACCCAGAGAGTAGGGACCCTGACTGTGTCTGGGAAGAGGAGCTGGACACAATAAAAATTCTGTACAACGTGCGCATATTACCTATTTTAAAACTAATTTTATTTTATTTTTTTAAGATTTTATTTATTTATTTATTTGAGAGAAAGAGAGAGAGAGAAACAGCATGAGAAGGGACAGGGTCAGAGGGAGAAGCAGGCTCCCCGCTGAGCCAGGAGCCCGATGTGGGATTCGATCCCAGGACTCCGGGATCATGACCTGAGCCAAAGGCAGTCGTTTAACCAACTGAGCCACCCAGGCGCCCGAAAAATAATTTTAAAAATACACACAAAGGGACGCCTGGGTGGCTCAGTCAAGATTAAGCGCCTGCCTTCCACTCAGGTCATGATCCAGGGTCCTGGGATTGAGCCCCAGGTCAGGCTCCCTCTCCCTCTGCCTGCTGCTCCCCATGCTGTGCTCTCTCAAATAAATAAGTAACATCTTTAAAAAAAAGGCGCCTGGGTGGCTCAGTCGTTAGGCGTCTGCCTTCGGCTCAGGTCATGATCCCAGGGTCCTGGGATTGGGCCCCACATCGGGCTTCCTGCTCCGCGGGAAGCCTGCTTCTCCCTCTCCCACTCCCCCTGCTTGTGTTCCCTCTCTCACTGTGTCTCTCTTTGTCAAATAAATAAATAAAATCTTTAAAAAATAAAATAAAAATAAAAATACACATAAAGAATGTTCTCTGGCATCACTTCGAAACTGTGCATTGTAACAATGTTATTGCAGAGAGAAACTTAATCTGTAGCAAATCCACTGTGGCCCCCTGCCATCAGGATTTAGTTACTGAAACACCAGAAGGGCACCCTTCTAAGGTGGCTCCCGCCTGGAGGCCGATCCTTCGACCCGGGCCAAAAGTGTCACTTAGTACGAACATACATGTACATGTCTCCCCACTCACGCAGTCTGCCATGTCATTGCTGGGGAGACACTACAAGGAGGAAGGCATTTCCTGCCTTCAGGAAAACAAACATCTAGAAGCTGAGAAACACAAGCACAGAAACAATTTTTATGATAGTTATACCACTTATAATTACATGGCACTTTATAAGCTGAAAGCCTTTTCTCATAAACCTCCTTTTAAGGAAAACTTCAAGCACACACTAAAGTAGGAAGAACAGTTTAAAGAACCCCATGTGCCTGTCTCAGTTAAGAAGTTTTATATAGAAAATAAATCTGTTTCCATGCCACGGTCACAGCTACATAAAACTTCCAGTACTGACATAATGAAATTTGTGTTAATTGGGGAAAACCAACTTTGGAGCACTTTCACATTTACGTCTCCCTTGAAGCAGAGAGGCCAAATTACCATTTTATAGATGAGGGCTCAGAAATCTGAAGAGAGCTGCTGAATGTCATATACCACCTGGAAAAGCCAGTTCTAGGGCCTGAAGACCCAACTGCCACACAGTATCTCTGCCCTGCCTCCTCGTGGGGGACCTAGGCTTCAGAATCACGTAGACTGGGTTCAAATCTGTTATCCACTGTCTGGGTCTGGAGAAACTACCTTCTCTGATAATATTTCTTCAGCTATAAAATGAGAATGAGAATTTTTCTGTTTTGGACTACTGCTTATTTACTAAGAAAGTGGAATACAAAGAGCTGCAGAAATGAAGTGATAATTTTGTCTGAGGTGGGAGAGAACTCTTTCCCTTGGAAGTACACTTGAGCTACATCTTGAAGGACAGGAAAAGTTTATCAAGCAAACAAAGGGAGGCTTTCTAGGCTGTGAAATCATCATAAAAACATATTTGGGATGGTGACTGGTCCAATATGATTAGTGAATAAAATATAGTTGTCCCCCTTACCACAAGGGATACATCCCAAGACCTCCAGTGGATGCCTGAAACTGCA